AAAGAAAGCCCAAACCAAAATCTGTTTCTCTAGAACAGCAGCCTTCCAGCAATGACTGCTGGAGTCAATGATTCTCACAGAATCGTGACCCTGAACACATTTAACTGGTAGCTCCCATAATGTGCTTTAAATGAAACCTAAAGTACATTTTCAAATAAGGTTTAAAAGCAGAACTCGAGTCACCTAAGCAGTTTCACCAATGTATTTACACCAGACAGTGCAGAAAATCACCAAGTCGTTAAACCAAGCCTCAGTCTGGTATCAGACAGCAAATCCATCTACGTGCAAACTCAGTCCCCAGTTTAATTCCACAGCCAGGATGACTCTCCCTCCTCCTTCAGTCCATGCACACAAGCAAAGAGCACTCAAGGACAAGCACAGATCCCACACTGCATCTGCGTTTGTCACCACCACTGGAAAGCTGCACTGGCTTCTTCCTGAACTGCGTAACAAGAGATGAACAAGAGCTACGTGAAAAGCCAGACAGGTTAGTAAAAAAAAAAAATGGAAATGTGTTTATAAGCAGAAGACATTTCAGAAACTTCATTTGCCCATGGGAACTTTGATCAGTCAAAAAAAGGCAGTAGGAAAAACAGGAATTTAAAAATGCGTATCCATTTAGATTAACACAGAAAGATCGTTTCAGATCTAAAGTTGCTTCGAGTATAAAGCAGTCTATCGATGAGAAGATCTTCCCAAAAATTACCACAAAAGACTAAATACAAGTAGCAATTTTTGTAGAATCCCAGAATGGTTTGGGTTGGAAGAGACCTTAAAGACCATTCCATTCCAACGCCCTGCTATGGGACATCTTCCACTAGACCAGGTTGCTCCAAGACCTATCCTTTTATTCTAATTTCTCAAAAGGTTAAATTGAACCAAAACTACAGCCTGTTTATTCAAGTATGCCCAACAGTCCACATTAAACAATGCTCCCATAACAACTCACAGTGGCTTCTTTCAGCACTGAAACCTCCAAATTAACCAATATCATTTATTTTAATGGTTGACAATGGAACATTTACACGTAAAATGTTGACAGCAATTTCAAAGTTACTACTCTACTACTCTACTGAGGGACAGCCCTTAGAGTTCTGTCTGGTTCAATTTAAAAAATGCATTAGATACTGCAAAATCCAGTAAGTCTGTACAACAAAGTCTTCCTCCGCTGAGGATGCACCAGGCTGCACCTCCTTGCTAAGGAGTAGCAAATACCCAGAAAGCCTTTGGTTAAGAAGGAATATTCCATTTACATGCACACAACCACCAGAAACCCCATCCAAAACTGCCACACAACAAAGCATTCAATGGCAGGTGCAAATCTTTCACTGCTACAGAACTCAGCCACTGACTACAGCTCGTGTCTCTTTGCTCTTCCTCCTTCAATTTACATCATTTTAATCAAGTGACTTTCCTGAGAGGCCACAGCTGTCCTTCCCCATGGTGCAGTCCCAAAGGATTTAAGGGTCCCAGGCCACTGACACCTGCCTCCAGTGACAGCCACCCCCTGCAGCCAGGGACCAGCTCCTTCACATTCAGCAGAGCCATGCCGGCTGCAATGACACTGCTGGAATAAAGTCCTCAGGCCAAAATTCAAAGTTAGGGGACAAAGGGGCACCAGGAGGAAGGGGCCAGGACACGAACCTCAAAACATTAACAACACACTGGATAAGTCAAACAAAAGCTACTGACAACCGCAGTAACAAACAAGCCCCGACACTATTCAGGTGCTTGGTACTGCATTCAGCATCTCCTTAACTCCCTCCAGCCCCACGTTCCAAGAAATATATAATGAGCCATTACTTTGACAGGACTTCAAACAAAGCTGCTTTCTTTTTTTCTTCAAAAAGAATTAGAATATGAATGTTTCTGCTTCACCAAGAAATCCAGAGCCTTTTGTGAGCAGATGATGCTACGAGCAGATGTACACAAGCAGATTCACAATAAAGCAGATGATCTCTTCTTTACCAGCCATCTTGACCTGTCTGGCTCGATTTACATAAACTGTTTCTATTCACTACAACATTGATTATGTAAACCTCGGCAAAATCTTAACCAAACACACGCTGCCACATCACTGCCAGCACAGACGTAGCGCGGTGCTGGGAGAAGGTTATTAGAAATGTGTTTGTGAAACGCCTCGGGATTTACTGGGGCTCACATTAAGGCGCAGACTGAGCAATCACAACTATTGCAGACAATAAGGAACGTGTGCCCTGCTGGGAGAGGCAGCTCCTGCCAAAACACCGCCTTCCCCTCCATTTAAAGGTCAAGGTACAGCAGCCCCACTTTAATACTGCTAAGGCACAGTGAGAGCAAAAGATAAAGGGAAAGTTTTGTCATCTTAAAAACAGGAGCTCAGCAGTTTGCCAGGTATGCCAATTCCTTTGTTCATCATCCTTTTCACCACCTAATTTAAAAGTCTCACAGTTCAAGACACAAGTTATTCATCAACATCACAATCAAGGCGTTTTTTAAAAAAAAAAAAACAACCCACACAGTGTCTCAAAACAGCTTTTTCTTCTTTTTTTTTTTTTAAATCTAGCTGCGAGGCTGCGCTATCAATTTTAATCAGGCAGTTGTAACAGGAGCTGCAACACTGTGCTTCTGCTGGTCCCCAGATCTCAGTTTCACTACAGGGAGGAGAGCAGATTTACACTGTCTTATTTAAATGATACTCCAGATTACAAGATTTTAATACAAAACAGGTACTAAGAGGTTCTTTTAGCATCCTGAACAGCTTAAGCTGTTCCAAGAGTTCCTAGTCACAAATGTTGAGTCACCAAAGAAAAGAGAGGGATGTTTGCATTATTTGTGGTGCTACAAACAACATTTAAGACACCTCTGATAGGAGTAACGAGCTCCTGAAGTGGCAAAGGGCTCTTAAAACAACAATTTTCGGTCTAAAAATTAAAAATACAGTGTCTGAAGTCATGAGATTTCCTGGAGTGCTTCCATCACGTCCACCTAGCCCTACATCACATTGTGTGAGCAGTGACAGCCCCATTGTTTGAGCGCAGCCACAGAGACAGCGTGACCAGAGAGACTCAGCCCCCCTGCACTTCTTGTCCCTGGCTGCACTGCAAGGACAGATCTGTTCGCATTTTCAGTACATCCTACACCTACAAGATGCAACCTCAGTAGTTTTAGAGAACGGCTGAAACTCAAACAGGACCTAAACTCAGCCATACACGTTTTATTTAGATTTTATTGGCATGCTTCAACACACACAGTGAAGATCAAGAGCCCAGCAGAACCGATAAGCTGAGATCAATGCGTCCCCATATTAAAGGCAAAGCGCACCAGACTTTGCCAGGTTAAGATCAGAGCCAAAGCATTTCATACTTCTGTACTTTCAACTGCTGCTAAAAATAGTAAAGCAACAGAAAGAAAAACGCTTCCAGCTGTGCACAAAGAGCCTCTGCAGCACAACATCAATTTATGCACTCTAATTTAATTAAAGATTCTGCATTATACTATGACTTTATTGTCAGAGACAGTGTTGCACAGCTGAGCTCACCCTCCATTTCCACAAATGAAACAGTAAGAACGTTTCTTTATTAAATTTTGTGAGATATGGGTATTTCTCACGAATCAAGGGACTTATATTCAAGGATTTCAAGTAACAGCTATGCCACGTTCACGAGAGCAGCTGTGTTTTATTCCACGGTAACTGCATCTTGCCCCAGTCTCGTGACAGGAAACATTTAGCATCCCTTAAGGAAAAAAAGGTGCACGACTGGATACGAGTACCCAGCCTGGACTGCTCTTTTTAAAACTGTTATTCCCCAAAGTGAGCACGGCTCTTTAGGAAAGGACCGAAACAAAAATCCCTAAGAAACCACAACAGGGTTTTCTACGACCTTGCAGCAAATATGTACCAGATTCTGGGGGAGGCTGAGTAACGCAGCGAGGCTGCGACTGTGCTGCTTCGCGGCTGGCTCCCAAACCTTTCCGTCGTGTTTAGCACTGAAAAATTACTCCATGAACCATGCGTTACCACGTATTAAACTACCAAAATTAAGCATCTCTTCTGAGGTTCGCGAGGGCTCTCAGCAAGCACGGCTTAGACGCTTCTCCCTCATCTGCCTCCGCGGCGCTCAGCAGAGCGGCTGCGAGCTTTAACAGCAGGGCAACAGCGTAATGCCAAGCGGATTACTTTAAGATCCATATCAAGCCGAGAAAATAAATATTTCCACGACGAATCTGAATATAAGTGCTTCACCCTCCTCCCGCTCCTCGTTCCAAAGTCATCTCCCTGCCATCTGTAAGGAGGACGCCGTCTCCCGGAGGCAGCGGCGGAGGGACGGGGCCCGCAGCGGGGAGCGGGGGGGGTTTGTGTGCCATAACCCCGCACCCTCCGGCCCCGCAAGAAGTTTCTTCCCCAGCCCCGCCGCGACCTCCGTGCCCGAGAGCGGCCGGAGCCCGCTCCGCCAGCCCGTCTGTCCCTCCGGCACCAGGACCACCATCCATCCATCCATCCATCCATCCATCCATCCATCCCCCCCCTCCGGCGCCGGGACCACCCCCCCATGCGTCTCTCCCTCCTTGCTCCTCTCGGCCACCGGGTCCCCGTTCCATCCCTACCCGCTCCCCCCGGCACCGGGTCCCCGCAACGGCCGCACCGCGAGCCCCGTCACGCACCGGGACCTTCCCCCCTTCACCCCTCCCCGCTCCTCTCAGGCACCGGCATGACCCCGTCCTTCCCTCCCTACATCCCTCACTAAACGGGACCCCCATCCATCCTTCCCTGCTCCCCTCGGGCACCGGGACCCCCCCGTGGATGCCTCGGGATCGCCCCCCCGCCTGCAGCGGCCGCGCCGCGCACTCGGCCGCCGGGCAGGCGGGAAGCGCCACGCGCCCCCCTTCACCTCCGAGCGCTCCCTCGCAGCGCGGAGCCGCGGCCGGCGCTGAGCCGGAGGCTGGGAGCGGGGCAGCCCCCGCCGCCCCGGGACCGCCGCGCTTCTCCCCCCTCCCCGGAGCCCCTGCCCAGCGCTCACCCCAGCACCACCAGCTCCCCGTACTTGACGGGCTCCTTGTTCAGCGCGCACAGCTCCTCCTGGCTAGGGGAAAACATGGGGCCGCCGCTATGGTAGCACCGGCCGCCCCCGTCAGAGCCGCCGCCGCGGGGGCGCGTCCCGAGCGGGCTCCGCTCCGCTCTGCGCCGCCGGCCACCGGCAACGGCCACTACACCGAGGGGGGGGCCAGGGGCGGAGCCAACGGGGGGAACGGACCAACCCGCCGCGGCGGGGGGTCGGGAGGAGCGAACCGGCGCCGTTTCCCCCCGCGAGGCTGCGAGTGGCCCCGCCCTCCCCGCGCCTATTAACAGTCGGCGGACGGGGCGGGGCTGGGCGCGGGTGCGCTCCGCCCCCTCCCGCGCGCCGCGCCCCCCCCCCGGCACAGGCGGCAGTGGTACGGCCCGGCCGTGTTATGTAAACATAGAGTAAAGGGGACCCGGCCGCTCTTAAAGGGGCCGCGCACCGGCGGCCGCGGCTCGGGGTCAGCGAGGGGTCCCGAGCGGGGGGCTCTGGGTCACCTCACCCTGGGCTCCACATCACCTGAGGGGTTCCAGATCTCCTCCTGCCCTCGGGGCGTGCCCGGATGCACGGGGTGTCTCCAGACCCCGGCTGCCCCAGGTTTGGGTCAGTGCGGGGCTGCGTCGCCTCCTGTCTGGGATGGGGGCTCTGAATCCGCTCCCCGTGGCTTTGGAGATCTGTGGAGAGCTCCCGGGCCACCTCCTGCCCCAGAGTGAGGGGCTCAGCCACCATCCCCCCCCTACACCTTCCATGGGGTGTCAGCAATGGGGCCACCCTCAGACTTGTGGTGCTCTCCTGTCCCATCTCCTGTCTCCCATCCCTGGAGGTGGCAGGAGCCATGGGAGCCACATTCCAGCCTCTTCTGTCCACTGTCTTCTTCTGAGGGGACAGAAATGCCCTCACCCTCTTTGTTCTTTAGCAATCTGTCAGGTCCTTCCCAACCCAGCCCGTTCTATGACTTCCGAGGATTTTTTTCTGCTTCGGTGTCTCCCCCACCACCACTCCCTTCCCTCCTCCTTTGTCCTCTGCACCTCACTAAAGGCCAAAACCAGCAAAGATTGGCTTGATGTTAATCCATGTTGAGGACAGAAATTCTCATTAGCTGATATTTGAGGTTTCCAACCCATTATCAAAGACAAAAGCAATGGGAGCATCCTCCTTTTCTGAAGAGAACCCTTGGGGCCAGCACAGTCACACTCAGGATCCAGCTCCTCCTGCTGAAAGCTTTCCCTCTGCCAGAAATTGTATTTAGCTATTAATTTTACCAGTAATATTATTTTTCTGTCGTTCTGGTGAAGAGGTGAAATGGAAAAACACAACCAATCTCGAAGGGCTGCAAAATGGAGATCTTCCCAGGGGCTGTGTGAAGAAGACAAGATTTTATTGAAGACAGGGAGCTGAATTATTACAGATTTATCTTCTTTATTGCTCTAACAAAATAGAAAAGAAAGCCGGGCTGTAAGTCACTGTCAAAGGAAACAAATACATTCCCAAAAACAGTGTGGAAAACAAAGCTCCTGGCTGTATCCCTTTCAACTTCTGCATTTCTCCCCTGAAAGCAAGACCTTCGCAGCAGCCTGGCTTTCACATGACATTAACAAACTCCAGGACTCTTCCAAAAAATGCTCCTGAGCAGCTCAGCTCAGATGGGATTCCACAAGTCAGTGATGTGTCTGGACATAGAGCATCGTTCACTCTCCCACCTGGGGATGGAGGGATGAGGAAAGACCTTGGAAATCTGATTTTACCCCTCTTTTCCACTTCCTCGTTTTCTGACACTGCTCTTTTTGGAAAACAGGGGGAAGCTGGGCAGCCCTGCACCCTTTTTCCAAACCTGCATGTTTTTTTCCTAGCACCCAAACCAGTGCATCTGCTGTCATTAAACACAGAAGTGACTCCCACTCCGTGACTACAGAAAATGCACTGCTGAAAAAAAGTTATTAAATACAGAAAATGCTCTTCTTGGCATTGCTGAAAAATGAATGTGCAGGGGGAAAAAAGATCCCAGAGGGATTCACAGGGGAGTGTTTACATCTGTGGTGTTCGTAGGAGGTGGATGAGCTGTGCTGGGGTGAGGGGCACTCACCTGCCATGTACCTGTGATGGGAGACTGTGACATAAACCCTGAGCTTGAGCTGATCCTTTTTCTTTTTCTCTTTTTTTTTTTTTCCCTTAGGAATTGTGCTTCATTTGTCCGTGTCCAATCTCTTCATTCTCCCCACGGGGTGTTTTAGGCTGAGGGAAGATCAGCCCCACAAAGTGTTCTGAGGGCTGCTGAGCCTTCCCAAATTTTAGGTTTCCTCAAGGACCAGTAGCTGCCAGCACTGGAAACCTGCTTAGAAATTGTTTAATATTTAAAATTTCTACGTTTTGGCTAATGAAGCAGAGGCAGGAGGAGGCAGCAGCTCTGCCACACATTACACAGCTCCCTGTCCCACACAGATCCCAGCCCCAAATCCCAGCCCCTCTATTTCCCCCAGCTCCAAAAAATTCCTTTTGCCACTGGTACAAGCAACACTTGGCTGGCATTTTTCCCCAAACCCATTGAAATAATTGAGAAATATACCCACAGCTGCACTCTGCTACTTTTCAGCTCAAAACATCCTTCCTTTTCAGATTTGGGATGTCTCAGGGTGCCTTTTCAGGGCAGTGAAGGGAGGTTTGGTTGTTTTCCACATAAAAGTGGGAGTCACATATAACTTGGAAGTCCTTCTAGGCTGCATCAACACTAAAAGAGGGATTTTGCTCCCAGGTTCAGCACGAGCAGCTGCTTGGCTGGGTGGAGGAATATCCACCCAAGCCAGGCAAGCATTAAAAATCAATGTTTGAAAAAAAGAAAAAATCCCAAACATGAAGAAATAGTACATGCCCATTTATTTTTAAAATGTAATAAAAAGTTATTTTAAATGCAGGAAGATTAATAATGCTCTAATTCAGCAAAGTACTTCCAGATGTGCTGGACTCTGAGTGTACTTCAGTGCTTTCATGAATCGAGGCTTAGGGAATGGGCTTCAAAAGTACTGAAAGAGGTTTTTAAAGTAAAAGAGGGGAGATTTAGATGGGATATTGGGAAGAAATTCTTCCCTGTGAGGGTGGTGAGGCCCTGGCACAGGGTGCCCAGAGCAGCTGTGGGTGCCCCTGGAAGTGTCCAAGGCCAGGTTGGATGGGGTTTGGAGCACCCTGGGGTAGTGGAAGGTGTCCCTGACCATGGAAAGGCGATGGGACTGGACAATTTTTAAGGTCCCTTCCAACCCAAAGCATCCTGGGGATCCTCTGAGCCTGAAGAGCCCCTGATCACACCTGCAGCTTACACTGCACATGGAACTCATGGCACATGTGATGGGAGCAGAAATAGGGATAAAGGTTTCCATTCCCAGTCCTGCACTGGCGCTGTTCACTGAGAGGTTTCCACGACTGGGATCAGGTTTATGTTCAGCCATCAGTAGGGATGGTTTGGGATGGGAAAATTAAACTCTGAAGTTGTAACAACCTGGATTTGGTGCTCCAGGGAGAGGAATAAACCCCAGGAAAGGAGAAAAACTCAGCTCTAAGGTTAGGATCAAGCAGGTAGCACCTGGGTAGGTGATGCCTTTCAGGCTGGAAAGTCTCCAGCTGGAAGATGAGTGGGGCTCTCAAGCAGCCACCAAGCAGAAATAGCAGGAGAAAGAGCAGCAGGTGCTTTAAAAGTAGATTTGATAAATAAATTACAGGAAAAATAAGATGTGACTTCTCATAATGATGCAATACCAAGATTAGCATATTTGGCTGAGCTTCTCAGTCCATTTTTCAGGGCTCAGTGCCTAACTTAGGTCAGGCTAAAACAGATTTCCTCTTCCTTATTCCATTTAAGAATCTCTCCTATTGTCTTAATTTTCCATCAGAGCATGTAATCTTCTTGATTCATAGTACCACCTAAAATTTAGAGAGGAGAATTGCATTAAAAAATAAGTGGAAGAGTTAAAAGGATAAAATACTTTCAAATACCCTGGCAGCAGTTTAAAGATATGATATAGGCTCCAGCTTAATATGTAACACTCCTTTAATAAAGACCCTAAAGGAATTTTTAAAAGCAAAGAAGTGAAGTAGCAGAGTGGGGAAGGCTTTTAGGAACAAAAAAAGATAGCTGTTAAAAATGAGGGAAATGGAATACAGCACAAACACTGGCAAATATAAAACCACAGCAAGGCAAGTGGAGAAGATATTGCAAAGCAGTTTACCAGAGGCATGAAAATGCTCAGAAAAACATAGCAGAGACAGAAAGTGGACCAGGGACTCACTGGGACCAGCAATCAGTGAAAGTGAAAAGATTGGGGTGAAATAAAACACTGGTGGGTCGAGTAAATGAGCTCCCCATGTTGTCTGTGCTTGAGACTCCCACAGAAAAACCTTCCTTTTCTGCAGTGGCTCTGGTGAGCTTCTTAAATATAAGTATCACCAAGAAAAGTTTGGAACAAAAAGGTAAATTTACAGAGGAAAAAATTTCCAGAGTGACACATCACTGGCCCAAGACTTGGAAAGAGATTCAAATACAATGATAGGAAGTAATTGTATTTGTATAATTATTTTCTATAAAATGTTGTATAGATATATTATTATAAATTTGCATTTGTCTGCAGGATGAGAAATAACAAACTTGCCACTGAAGAAGAAAGTTTAAGAACTTAAACTTTAAGAGTTGAAGTCTGACCTGTACTGCACAAATGAAAATACAATGAAGTTCAGGTAAATATGGATAGCTGGGATTCACTGGGAAGATCTGATACACCAGGGAAAGGGCAATAGGAAGTTTCTGCAGAAAGAAGTCAAAGTTTATTCCACATTCACACCCCTTAAAGCAGTCAATGAATATGTTGGAGGAGGTGATTGCACGTGTATCACATACCTGGGGTTCAGCAAAGCTTTGGCACCACAAGAGCTGTCAAAGAGATAAAAGTTGCATGAGATAAAGAAAAGGCTGCATGGATTAGCAGCTGAGACAAGAGAAACCAAAGGCTGGAAATCAGTTTTCATTTTCACAGTGGGGAGAGGTTATTGCTGGGATTTTGATGTCGTGGAGCCCTGGCCAGGCTGCTGACTTCTAATGGGAAAGTCTGCTGAC